AGGAGTGAACTGATATTCACTTTTATAGACTACATTTATTTAACAGGCATACTGTGAAACAATAAATGTAATTCGTTGATCATGCCTGTAAAAATGACGTGTACCTGCCATTGCAGAAATATATTATATTATATTAAGAGTCATCACCGCAATTGCATGTGCGTATGATGAAGTTAGGTTTGGGAGGATTCTAGTCTCCCAGTATTGGAATATCAACGCATAGTACACGACTAAACTCTGATGTGAAACGCATCACGATCAACAAAACATGATATGTTGACACAACATTGTGAAGAAGTAGACGGGATTTTTTCTGTAATTCCAACTAGAGCGTTTCTTAGAGTGTTAATTGTCTTATAAAAAACTTTGATTTTGTGTGTTTTCAGTATCGTTTGTAATTTTTTTGGTGAAACTTGAGGTTAAGGTAAAACTACAGTACCAATACGAGAAATTTCATTAAGATTTTTATTTACAAAAGCGCAGTTTTGTTTCAATGTGTTTTTAATAATATTTTTAGAAAAAATATTGGAACGCAGACTATTTGTTACATTCGCTTTTTCTTTCAGTTTGTCTTGTGAAATAATCGCCTTGGTTGCTCTGATGAAAAGACTTAGGGCCACAAAAATATCTTCATTGAATGAATATTGAGAGTTAAAATCAATATACCGATTCGAATGTGTTATAAAGCTAGATTTAGACCACCATTAGAATACCTTTTAATATGGAGATGCCACAAGTAATTGAAATTTGACAACACCTTAACCAGTAACACCTTCTATAATCAAAATGTACTAACCAGTGGAACCAGAAGTCAGAAAGAAAGAGGTTCGAAGATGTATTTGATAAGCTATTGATATATCGAGAAGTAATTAACTTCATATGCCTAGCGGTTGTAGAAGTTGAGCACAGCGTACCCTTTCGTGATCTGGTGCACATGCATGACTGAGCTCCTTCAGCTAGGTGAGTTCATTAAAACTAAAGTGGTGAGCATCCAATGTCGAAAACTTACAGAGCTATTTATTTTTGGGATTTATTTTCAGCTACAAACTGAACAGTCTAAGAAGAGTAGTTCACTATGGGCACCTCCCTTTTCGTAAGTGAATTAGATGTGTTGTGAGAGCATGTTTATGTGTTAGGAGATATTTATAAGAGTTTTTTAATAATAACGAATATGTCAGCTACATATCTGAGCCAGATTCGTTATGTGATGGTGGTAGCTTCGTAATTGTGATTAAAAAATCGGCTCAACTACAAGGAAAATTTTCGTTAACGAAGATTTTTAAGACATGTACTCCATATAGTGATGATCCCACGACATCATGGACATTAACACTGTTGGATGCCGGCTCATTGGTCTAGAGGCTGTGTTCGGATGCGAGATGGAAAGTCCTGTGTTCGAAGCCTGAGAGCGACATCGTGGATGTGCACTACTGGAGAGTCCCATAATAGGACAGAATGGCTATTTAATGCCTCCAAATTTTCAGTGGTGGTCTAAAGGTAAACTAACAATTGCTTCAGATTTATTAAATAACGATAACTTTCTACAGAAAACTATTCATTTCAATTATCGAACATTAGAACGTTAATATAAATTTAATTTATCAATTGTTGATCGCATAACTAACAGTATGACTGGTGAACAATGTGTGGAGTATCAGGTAATTGTTGTTTACTAAATTTAACTTGATGTTTCTTAAAGGTGGTTGAATATGATCATTATCTTATTTATAGAGGCATCAACAAGCTGTTGTTAAGCTTAGATAACATGAATAGACTTTTCAGATTTTGTTGTAGATTAATGAACAAGAACATTAAAATATTTACGTGAAAATGCTTTTGCTATGTTGAGCACATCAATCCCAAATTAAATATTCAACCACAGTGATTTAGAGCTTAAGCGTTTGCGCGTGAGACCGAAAGCTATGGGTTCAAATCACGCGAGTGAGATCGTGGATGTGCGTTACTGAGGAGTCTCACAATATGACGAAATGTTTGTCTAGTGTCTCCAGTTTATCGTGAAGTGTTTGAAGAAAATATTTCTGTTGGGGTGATCCAGAAAACTTCTCGCAAAGTACAAGAAAGGATCACGAAAACACTAAGAAGCATTTTATTCAGTCAGCGTTCACTTGAAGTTTAACCAGATACATCAAGGAAGTGAGAAGTCACATGTAGAGTTTCTGATTGGTCGATTACTATCCTGCTACTATATTTAGTAGCATCCCAGAATTTCCGGGAAACCCAAGGACATTAAAAATACTATAAAAAACCTATATTTTCTGCACTAAAACGGACCTTTGGAGTGAAGTGCTTCTCGCGTATTTTCCGCCTCTTCTCTCGTGTTTAGGTCACTGTGTAGTTATAGCTTGGGGGTTACGAGAATAGCTTAGGAACCGAGTATAGTGTTCACTTAGCAAGGCTTATCGATTTCTACCGTAGGTATCTTCCCTTAAAGTCCGGTTGATGGTTCTGTATATTCAGTTACTAGAAAGTTTAAAATTGTTGATAGAATTTCAAATGAAGCTGAAAATAGTTCGATAGGCAATCAATCAAAAACTATGTATACATACCAACCTTGCTTACAAACATTGTTAAGATTTTTCATTTCTTGTGTGTATTTATTTCACATTCCATCGCTGAAGAAGTGCCTATATGTGTTTTTCCTGAAAAGAAAAACGGCTCTGGTTTTGTATTCTCCAATAGCCTATATTTGTCAAGACCTTAATTTTTGGTTTGAATTATTTTTTATCATTGATGAACACGGTGGATCTGATGCACATGAGAAGGTGCAGCCGGCAAAGTAAGAGCAGCATATTTACAACTGAAGAACATCTGGAACACAAAACAACTGTCAACCAACGCCAAATTCAGAATTTTCAATACGAATGTCAAGACAGTTCTACTGTATGGGGCAGAGACGTGAAGGACTACGAAAGCCATCATCTAGAAGATACAAGTTTTTAATAACAGTTGTCTATACAAAATACGTCGAATCCGTTGACCAGACACCATCAGCAACAACCTACTGTGGGAGAGGACAAACCAGATCCTAGCGGATCAAGTAATCAAGAAGAAGCGCTGGAAGTGGATAGGACACACATTGGGGAAATCACCCAACTGCATCACAAAGCAAGCCCTCATATGGAGCCCTTCAGGCCAGAGGAGGAGAGGAAGACCAAAGAAATGAAGACAGACATGAAGAAAATGAACAAAAATTGGACAGAACTGGGAAGGAAGGCCCAGGACAGAGTGGGTTGGAGAATGCTGGTCGGCGGCCTATGCTCCATTGAGAGTAACAGGCGTAAGTATGTCAGTTCTTTTTAGTTAACTTTATAATCCCTTTATATTAAAATATACATTATATGTTCTTGAATAACCGTTCGTAAATGTTTAATGAATTTGTTACATTCAATATTTTTTAAATACCCATTGTAAAACAGGTATTGTATAGCTATCTCACTTATTTGTGTTTTGGTGAACTACTTATATCCACATAAGTAGTATATGACGATAGTCAAAAATAGAATGCATTTCAGTAGAAGATCGAGAAGGCAAGAACAGAAATGAAAAGCAATTGGTATGAAAATGCAAGAACAATGAAATCTGAAACGACGAACTGATATTTGAAAAAGAAACAGTCAAGTTTGAGACAATTGATTGCTATTTTGCAAATTAAGTATTTACTATAAAGTTCTCAGTCTTTAGTAAGATGTTCTGTAATGTCTTTGTTCAGATACATTCGATTGTCCCCGCTCGTGTTCTCGTTCACTGCAGTATCGTATTTGAACTGAATCAATAACAATGTTCCATAGGATGTGTGGTTGAAATCATCAAATGAATGAGAACGGTGAAGCTTCAAAAACTCATACAGTGAATTCACAAATGTGTTTTGAATGTGGTTACCTTATTTTTGTTCTGACACTTTACAAATTGCTCATCTGATTGATTTGGTGTAATCTTTGTCTCACTTTCTCTCGATCGAGAATCAAACTAATGAGATAAATACTGTCTAACTAACACCCACTGTTTCTATTTAAATACCATGGAGCCCAGGTAGTTTCTGTTGAATGCTGAGATTTGTAATTTAGTATCTGAAATTCCTTTGAATAAAAACTATCTTATATGGTTTAACCCTTTAGAACAAACCGTTTATAAGGAACGAAACCTTAATTATTTATCTATGAAAATGATAATTCGTATTGAGTTTATATCCGTTAAAAGACAGAATACGAACCGATAATCTCCTTTCTATCTAAGTTATGAATTCCTAATCGAACCTTTAACTACACGATCGATTAACACTTCAAACCCAAAAAACAAAATAGAAGAATATCTGCAGAGGTGGTACTATAATTACGAATTTCTAGGAAATAAATAAAAACCTCAACTCGTAGTGTAGCTGATGTAATTACTAAGTGCATGTACATAGATAGAAGAGTGCTTCTCACGACGCATATGTAGAGCTATTAATAAGATAGCGATTAGTTTAATTGGCCTCAAGCTGCCCACCATCTCCAAATAATCCTAGGGCCACATTGACACGTTTCCCTGCAACTCTTAATTTGAAACATGTATATCTAACCTAAGAAAGATATCAGTAGGACGTAATAGAACTGGTCGACAAGACTTCAAGTATGGCGGACGTGTGTTGGGTGGTAAGTTGATTGAGATTATAACAAGAGTTTGGTGACTGGACATAATCCCGTCTCGATAATCTTGACACTGACAGTTCACCTTGAAATAAGTACTTTCGTTGATGTGATTTTTTAAGGTGAACATGTTCATCATTCAGCTTTTAAATGAGAGTAATTTCTTTTTCGAAAAATTAGCGTTTATAAAAACTTACCAGTTACTAGTTGTTCATACTAACATAATATATTCATTATCATACGAGGAGTACTATAATGCAATACTCTAAGGTCTTTCAATAATTTATTACACGTAATACTCCCGTTTATGAAACTTAGCAGTATCGTTAATAAACAATTAACTAATATGGATTACACTTTGTTATTTTATATGTACATTAGTGATCATTAGAATTCTATACACAGAATATAGATAATGTGATCGAATTAAACTGAACTGAATTATGGTATCATAAAGTTAGGGTTTATACGAAAGTATCACTTCAATGAATCCAGTTAACAATTTATTTAATTCAATTACATGTGTGTACTAACATTTTGTTTGTTACTGTCAAGTTGTATAATATATTTTCTAACGTGATAAAGGTCGACCACTTGGATTGATGCATATATGTGCCTGGTTCAGTAATTCGCACTACTCCATCCTGACAGTAAAGCTTGTGTAAAACACGGACATGATTTATTATGATATATTTAATTCCTCTTACAACATTACTTATCTTCTGTAATGATGACAACATGTCAATATGGTTAAACTGAATATTTATCTTTAATAAATTGTGCATCACTTAACGGAATTAAAAATGCAGGAACAGGTTTTTTAGTCCCAGTTTTATCTAGGTAATACTCACGATGTTTTTGAATATCCTGAAGAAAGAGGAAATAAGAAAAACTGATAACAGTTAAGCTGAATTACGAACGATGGGAATCTTTCTCACCTTACGAGAACTATCATCAATATAACATAAAGTCTGACGATGCATAAGCGTTTTATCATGATTTGTTCGCACATCAGAGAGACTTCAGACAAATTGTTAATAAGAATGATATATAGTGTTAATTGTTAAGTAGAATATAGTGAATGACTATATAGCATGCCAGGAGGAATTTCCGCAGACATTGACAGTGAGAACAGAAGAATTTCCATAAAATTGATTAACGCAAATATGTATCTAGAAGTAAAAATCCTATAAATATGGAAAATTCTCATTTATTTTGAGACTAACTTGTCAAGTTCAGCTCTAAATTACTATTCATGTCGAACTGGAATTCCACAACTTCTAATGACAAACTCTTGGTCCACACAGCAATGTTTTCCGGAATATTTTATAGTTTCGAATAGATTCAGACTACATTGAAGTTAGTCTGTGATTTTTTAGATATTTGTAACACCCAGTTCTTAAACTATGTATAATTCCAACCGATTACTAAATAATTGGATATTGAGAGATATTCTCGTAATAAGGGTAAATCCAACTGTTATGAAATTGACGGGTTTTGTAGAGATTTTGGTGATTTTATAGTTGGGTTTATGAGTCAGTTAAAGCTAAACTACCATGGAAAACCTGGACGTACCGAACGACCGTTTTGTCCAATTACTAAATACCCTCAGTTCGAATCCCGCAGGCGGGATCGTTGACGCGCACTGCTGAGGAGTCCCACACTAGGACGAAGCGGCCATCCAGTGCTTCCAGGTTTTCCATGGTGGTCTGGCTTCAATTGACTCATGATCTCAACTACGAATTTAATTAGTTTAAATATTATCTATCCCGGGAAATCGGTCATTTAAAACAATCTGGCACACATATATTAGTGGTATTCATTGGTGTTATTGTTTTGTGTTTTCGTTTTATTTTCTTAAATTGTGAGTGATCATAATCACTCTGTTATGTCACTGGAAATGATCTTAGATGTACTCTTCACACATCAACAGGATGTCGTATTCCCCTGACAAAGAATTAATGGTTGTTGTAATCTATCTACTTCCTTAATAATTTCTGAACACTTCAAACAATCTAAACATAATACTACTTTCTGTACCAACCTGATCATGCCTTTAAATCGGCACTGATTCTGTAATTGTTTTCAGAATACATTATTATTTATTTGAGGGAAAGTTCATTTCTTGTTACGCGAATCTATATTTCCTTAATTATAAGTACTATGCAAAATTTATGGATGAAAAATATGCTAATTACAATCAATCTTCAATTATAACATCAATTTTACCATTATTACTGTTACTCACCATTTCAAAATTCCTGAGTTCATCTGATCTATAGTTATCTTTGTTATAAAGTTGATAGCAGAATCTATCACTATATCTTTCGTGACTTTTTACTCTTTTGTTCCAAAGAAATTTTGGATTATGTGAATAAATTGTCGGAAAATTTCCACTATCTTTATACGGTGTCATTGATGACTGGAGCACTGTCGATCTGTAGTCTTGGAATTGCTTGCATGTGTAAGTACCATATGTTTGACCATAATCAAATTTTACACATGGGCAGTGTCCTCGGTACCTGATTAGTAAAAACAAACTTGACAATTTCTACATTACTGAGAAAAACGTGGTAAGTGATCGGATGTAGTGAGATGGGATCTGTGTGTCTTCAACTTACTAACATTTGAAACTGCTATACTAGTTAAAATAGGGTTCACAGAACCTCAAAAATAATCAAAAAGAACATACATATCCGTATGTAAGGTAACTGTTATTCATATAGGTTTCAGTTACCTGGATGCTAGTATACTGAAGTCAATAATTATTTAATCTTGATGAATAGATTAAAAAGTAGGCCAGAAAATGCAACAAACGTACATGACAATCAGTCACAATTATTGAATATCTTATTACCGTAAATAGTTGTAATTTGTGACATTTATTGTTCCTGTGTGCCATTTTGCTTTACTTATATGATATTATCAGTAGTATTAACATGATTTTGTCATCCATCCTGTTATAATTCTATGAGATGTAGCAACTATAACCAGTATGTACTTATTACACAGCAGGTTTTTCGTATAAAGTATTATTTTCACTTCTTTTTGAAAATCGAAAATGGGCTTATTTTAGTCTCTTGATACTGAGATTAGCAGTGGTTGGTGCTTCCATTGACAAACTTCATATTTAAGTGCCTACAGTTTGTAGATACGATTGCAAGAGAATTCATAGTCGATTATTTATCAAAACTTCTGTAAAACTATAAAACAAATAATGAACTTATTTTAACTTATGGCTAAAATAACATTTCTCAAAATAGAATTGAAATTCAAACTCACGTGGGCATTAGTTTTGGTAGTATATATGTAGCATTATGTGTTGTCTTCATATTTTCTGGTAACAGTCCAAAATTTGTATGAGCCATACTTTCAATGTTTCTTAATTTCGGACAGTCTAGCTGATGATCAAACTTACTTTACGTAAAGTCTGTAGATATGCTTTTTAAACTAAATTAAAAAATACATTTCATTATTTTGATTTCCGATAAATATGCACATTAACATCAAACACCACGCTTTAATCATTATCAAACGTTTTTCAAATGTGAATCTCATTTAATTGTAGTTGTTTAAAGTATTTTGTGATAAATTTTATGTATCTATGTATTTGTCTACTTCATCAAACCTTTGAGCATATTGATCAACCAGGTATACTAGTAGCCTCCTTTTAACCTTAAGCTTTATGCCTATAGGCATATAACATTACTAAAATTTCTTTTGTGAAAATCCTGACAGTTTCACTACACCACAACAGTGTGAATGCCTGCGTGGAACAAATCGTAACTATATCTTTGGACACCACGAGATTTATGACCGAAAAACTGAACACTTTTGAAGTTAGTTGAAGAAAATGTTATTTAACGTATTTTTTGAAAGTACATCGAGTATTTTACGGAGATAATCGATAACATATTACCTATTATCAAGATATTGTTATTTCAACAGTAAATTCCTGTTGAAATAAAATATTTTATAATAATACGCCACAGTTAACTGTGGAATTTTAAGATGAACCATGAATTCGTGTAAAATGAGACAATAAATTTGAAGTTTCTTGCGAGAATGTCCTAAAATATCTGACTAGATCACTTTGAATATTTAAAGTGGTCTCATCTCCGTCAAATATTTGACGGACTACTCTCGGATATTTAGGCGAAAATGCGATAATTCGGGGATATTTAGGCGATAAGTCGGTAATTTGTCGACAAAAAGGCGAAAAAGGGGAAAATCCGCATTATTTCCCCCGGACAGGCGAAAAAGGCGAATTTCTGATGCGTTTTCCCCTTTATTTCCCCTTTCTTCGCCTTTATTTCCGCTTTTTGGGTTGTCTGGGTCATTAATGAGAAACAGGATTATTCGTTTAAAATGTGCATATATGCTAGAAAAATGACCTTTTAGTTGGGAAACTTCTCAATTATTGGTGCTTCTTATGAAATCTTTCCATCACTGTTTTGTAACTGAGTAAAAGTCCGTCATATGGAAGTGTTGCACAGTTCGAATACGCGCCTCACGGTTGTTATGATAACGAAACAAAGTCAAATGGTTATGGACGGAATAGAAGTAGCTTTCGCTTAACAGGCTTTCGTGTCTAGTAGCAGGGGATCACGAATACCTTCAGGCAGGCTCCTATGTATGTTACCGATGAAAGAGGAAAAATAAATTGGTAAATCATAATATAATACTATCCTTAGACCATAAGAATAGGTCAAGTTGCCTCTTAGGAGACTCCTAGGAAGTCGCTTGGACTAGCTCGGCTGGCAGCGAATTCCAGCATTTGACAACTCTTAAGGAGTAGAAGTTGTGTCTGCAGTCCGTTCTATGTTGTGTCTCCGATTTCTGGGTGTTACCCTGAGGGTTGGTATTGGGACTAAGCTTAAGTAAGTGTTTAAGAGGATGTCCAGAAGTGTTAAGGATACTGTCAGCCATCAGATGGTCACCTCTAAGACGCCTATACCCTAATGGGTAAAGGTCAGGTGATTGGGGGCTCTCTTCATAACGATTGATTTAGGGTCCCCGAACTGATTTCGTGGCTCGCCGTGGGATACGCTCCAGAGTGTCCTTATCATTTTGGAGTGGGGAAGAAAATACTGTGTTTCCGTACACTAAATGGAGATGAATAAAACTGTTGAAGATCATGTGGAACGTTCTTCCGTCAAACTGGCCAAAAATGCGCTTTAATGTTACCAGTGCAAGGTTTGCTCAAAAGACATTTTGGTCACAGTTAGCGTAAGACTTTAAATCGTAGGGTACCAGCACTTGTCAATCTCTTTCAACTTGGTGTACTTCCAGAGAAAAGTTTCCTAAGTTGTAACTCTAATCTGCGACATGTCGCAGATGGACTACTTTGCACTTTGAAGTGTTAAAGGTAAGTCCGTTATCGTCTGCCCAACTTTGAAGTCTAGTCAGGTCCTCCTGAAGTGCTTGTATATCGTCTTGGTTGCGTATCTCTCTCCAAAGTTTCACATCATCGGCAAAAAGTAATAATTCTGACGTTACCTGTTGAGGAAGATTATTCATATAAATCAAGAACAGAAGAGGTCCTAGTACTGAGCCCTGAGGGACTCCACTTGGACATTCCATAGCCTGAGATAAAGTGAAATTAACCCTGACCTTAAAATGTCGATTTTTCAGGTATGAAGTGAGCCAATCGATTAGAGGTGGTCTGATACACAATCGTATGAGCTTATTGATAAGACATGTATGGTTAACCTTATCAAAAACTTTTGAGAAATCTAGGTAGATGATATCAACCTTCCCCTTTTGTTCGAGGATGCTTGTCCATCTGTCCACCGCAGTTATCAGGTTGGTAATACAAGAGTAACCCTTCCTGAAACCATGCTGTTGGGGTGAGGAGAAATTTAAGGACAGTAAGTAGTCATTTATACCGTCGCATATCAGGGACTCCATGATTTTTGAGGGTATGGAGAGAAGAGCCACCGGTTTGTAACTTGAAGGTTCGCTGCGTCGACCACCTTTGAAAATTGGTGTGATATGAGCCAGCATCCAATTTTCCGGTAGTTTTCCTCGACTTAGCGAGTGTGAGAACATCACGCTAAGCCGCGTTGCCAGGATTGAGGCTGCTTCTCTCAGTATAGCAGAATGGACCATGTCCGGGCCAAGAGAAGTGTCTAATCTTAAGTGCTGCAGTTTCCGGAACACCAAGCCTGCGCTTAGGTTCACTTCGGAAAGTCCTGTGGAATTGCAAACGAAACTGTCATCAGTAAACTTAATGTCGTTCGGTTGAAATGTCTGGGAGTAATGTTTAGCCAGAAGGTTAGCGGCGTCGCCATCGTTGTTGGTTCGGGCCGTTAAGACCTAACAGTTGGAAAACTCCAGTTTCGGCTTGACGAAGAGATGCTGCATAACGGAATAAGCTTTTAGGATAAGAGGCAAATTTATCGATAAGCTTTGTCTGATACTGAAGCCTATCTTCTCTTATAGCCTTCGAGCATATGTTCCTCATACGTTTGTATTGCCTGTACGCGCTGTTGTTATCAGCTCGTTTGTATTCTGCCCGACAGTGTATTTGTGTCTTAGCAAACGAAGTGTGCGGTTCTTGATGATTGTAGGTTGCTTGTAGCTATTGCGTGTTGTTTGAGGAACTGACTGCTTTGTAGCACATAAGAGAAAGTGCAGTAAGAAATCTGCGGTGTTTGAATGAACTGATGATACTTTTGTATTCGTTGAATGCTCGATTTCTAATTCCAGATACAATACATTCGTTTGTGCTTGTGTCTTACTTGTTAATTCACTTGCGTTATTTCTGGGATTCCTAGTTCATACTACAATTCAAATCATTCAAATATTATACTATCGTCGCGATAGAGCATGTGATGGAAAAGTTAGATATTAATTCAACTTCAGAAGCTTTTAAGGATTATTTGGAAAGGTTTGAAATCTGGTTATGACCAAGGAAGATACTGAGGATGGTAATATTGTGTCCTCACGTTCACTGGAAAAGAAGCATTCAGCTTATTAAAAACTCTGGCTATGTCGGGAAAGCCTATCTCGCTTCCTTATACACCTCTCAAGGAACTACTGCTTGACTATGTTAATTATACAAAGTTCGAATGCGGTAAAAGAGGGAGATCTCGTAAAATGATTCATGAGGATATAAAAAATTCCACTACATTACTACGTCATCCAAACCCAGTGCATACTCAAGGTTATGCAGATAATTCATTGAGTTTGGATGCAGTTCACGAGAATGGGGACAGGTTTGGTCAGTGTTCGTCCTGTTGCAAGTTCCACTCTTTTAATTAATGTAAATTTCGTAATTCTAAGTGCTTTAAATGTGGTGATATTGGACATATTCAGTCAGTTTGTAATATTACTGTTCATCTTATTGAAACTAATATTAAGTCTTGCAATACTGATTCTACCGAGTCGAGTATTTATAATGATGATTTACCTTTGTCAACGATTGCAATAGACAGTGTAGAGTCACATAGTAGTTCAGAGATAAATGAAACTCAGAATTCTTACGAGACAACAGTTTCTAACCAACCGACTTATCAGATTTCTCATGTTATTGTATTAAATATGGTTTTTCCCAATGGCTCACATATTTCTGATGAAATTTCTTACAAATCTGAAGAAAATATGTTGAGTGAACATAATTATGATGGAAACCTGATGTGGTTTTGATGGATGCTGATTTTCCTAACGATCCTTTGCTCTGCAATGACATTCCTAATAAATTTGAGGAAACTATTCCAGAAGAGTCAAGTCTTAATGTCATATCAAATATTATTTGTCCTCATAATTCATTTGTTTCTTGTGGAAAACTTGTTCAATACGAAGCACGAGTATTAAATGAGCTCGATTCTGATTACAATTCAGATTATTTCATATCAACTTCTGTTCATCCTTATCACAAATTCACTTTCAGTGTATACTGGAATCAATGTGAGAAATATGTTTTAAATGAAGCCACGTTATTCATAACTGGGGGAAAAATCTATGGTTCTTATTCTAGATATTAATGATTTCAGTATAAAACCGACATGCTGATTGTATACAATTCCGGGTCTGTTCCGATTTCGTTTGTTAATTCCAATACTAATGGCACATTCTAGATACTACAAAGTTTTTATACAATAAAATGTCGGACAGACTCAGGATGAACTTAAGAAGAAGATGTATAACCGATTACAAGCACCTATACTCCCATTTAAGCTGCGGCGGATGCGGTGTTTGAATGAACTGATGATACTTTTGTATTCGTTGAATGCTCGATTTCTAATTCCAGATACAATACATTCGTTTGTGCTTGTGTCTTACTTGTTAATTCACTTGCGTTATTTCTGGGATTCCTAGTTCATACTACAATTCAAATCATTCAAATATTATAAAATCCCAATTAGCATGCACATCAAGTTGAGGGTGAACATCCCAATCCAACTGTTGTAGATAGTCCTGTAGAGTTGACACATTCAACCGTTTGAAATTCCAGCGCACGTTGTTGGTGTGGTATCTTAGCTCAGTTTTGCAGACAAAACTGATGGCTATGATGGCGTGATCGCTCTTCCCCAGAGGAGCCAGGATTGAGAGATAGTCAACCAGAAATTCTTCGTTTGTAAATACCCAGACTAAGCGCAACGGCGTCTGACTGTTTCTCCAAGGAGTTGCGGATTTCACATTCTTGTATAATCCCAGATCCTCAGTGAGGTTGAAGATCCGAGCTTCGGTTGAGTTTTCACCTCTAATATACGTATGTTCCGCGAAATTGAGTCTAGGGAGAGTGAAGTTCCCTCGAATCAGGATATGTGTGAATCCGAGACGCGTAGAGTGGAATAGTCCTTCCAGCATACGACTGTCATATTCGATTTCTGCAATGGGCTTCATGTAGGTGACCCCGACTAGGCACCTCGAAGTGGTAGACAATCTTACTGAGCAACATACGGGTTCATCAAGACTGATAAGCTCTTGGTTGTGAACTTTGTGTACCTCCAGGCAGGATCGTATGTATAGGGCTATCCCACTCCCAATTCCTGTTTTTCTGTCGTTACGAAACAAAGACATCCCAGGTATTGCTAGCTTCTGGTTCGTAATCTGAGATATCTGAGTTTCAAATATTCCTATCATATGAGCCTTATTAGCATTGCTTAGTTCACATAGCTCATCCATTTTATTTGGTAGACTCGCGGCCTTCATGTATAAGAAGTTTATACTTTCCATTTGAAACACGTGAGCTTCTTCCTGTTCGTCTGTACGAGCCTTACGTGAAAGGACAGGTAGCCTACCTATATGAGGTTTGCCGTGGTGGTAGGCCCTGTCCTTTACACGTTTTTTTATCGTCCAGACAGTCCACAAGTGGAATGATTAGCTCCAACTTGCCTTTGTGTTTGGTCCTAGCTTCGTATGGCCTATCCGGGTGCATGTGGATTCCAGGTGGCCGTCGACGTCTGTTGGCAAAAATGCTTCCAGTGTTGCAGCCGCCATATAAGAGGATGGGAAAGTTATCCTCATTACCAGAGTCTAGAACCACCGTCCTTCTTGGCTAGTCTCACCACATGTTGAGTCAGTATGTTTTTGAGCCTCACGGACTGTTTGACGAATTTCCATTCCCTAATATCAGAGTTTACTTGACTAGAGTCCGTGTTTTCCGGTACACCTTGCACAATTATATTTCTTCCGCGGAAAAACTTCTCGCGAGATTCTTTATGGATGTTCCGGATGAGATTGCGCTCAGAATACTGTGTGTCGGGCAGTATTCTTACGTTCCCATCGGATTTCAGTATATGACTTGCTAACAGGACATCCTCTGCGTCAGTAGCATTCCTAAGTGTTACGCGAAGTAGCCTCGGGTGATTTTGATGCTTAGTTTCCTTTCTCCTAGTAAGCCGTCAAGGCTCTATTCTAGGAAGTTCAATTTTCTGGTTCAATTTACCCCAGAGAATTCTGTCATTTTTGTCCTGAAAACTGAGAGGAAGGTCAGGGCTGTCTTTGAAGTTCATGATTATGAGAGGGTCATCACAAATCATTATTTTTTCCCCAGGTTTTTCGGTGCGTGCGGGTTCAGCACCTTGTTGTTTGGAGATCGAAGCACGTTTCTGATTCCTAGGCTCTTTGATGACCGGACGGACATTCTTTGCGGTAGACTATGCGGTCAAGTCACCTGTTGATTTCCGCACAATACTTGCGATGTTCAGCTTAAACGGTGACGCCTGTTCCTTTCAAACTCTGTCAACGTGGGTCCAATCACCGACAGAGTTCTCGGGAACCGCCGTTGCATTAAAGGACCCTGAGCTGGGAGACCCGAGTTTACTGAGGGAGTCTATCACCGTCGACATTGTGATGATTCGGAGTTTCAACATGTCATCATGAGTGCTAATTCATGCCCCATCAATGGTAGACCTCTCGGCAACCCTATTCTTGTTTTCGTTGTGCGCCCTTGTTTGTCCACCCATTTTATGACTATCTTTTTCCAAGTTTGCTGACAAATTTTTCCGCAGACCTGTCAATAGGACAAAGACGTTACTCAGCAGGACTACAGCATCTGTGCTGCGCGTAACACATTCCGACTTATGATCCGACTTGCTGAGTCTGTTGCGAGCAACTGCTGTGAGATCTGTGCACGCTTCGTGGAACCAACCTTTGAAGTTGTCGCACTGCATGCCAGATGTAACAGCAAAACAGCATCCAGGTCGTTTGCATGAATTTTTCATGGCAATATTGACGTAAACTCTGTTATAGATGCTAGCAAAAGCCTAAAACCGTTAAAAAATGCACTAAGAAGCACACTCAATACGGGCAAAAATGGATAAAAACGGATGAGATAAACTGAACAAGCCTTTACGTGAAAAACTGAAAAGGAAACCGAATAGTAGTCTGAGCCAAAACCACAGTTAACTATCAAGTTGGGTGGAACTCAGAGTGAAGAGCTGAACTTACTTAAGCTCCACCATCAATGAAATTTGTACCGGTGTATGTCTACTAGATACAGAAACGCTCTACTCATTATGACCTATGAATCAAAACCTTCACCCGTCGTTGGCATAAGTGCTGGGGTAAACGCTATTACTGTGCATGTTAATCAACGAACTTAAGGGTAGAATATGAGGGAATTTGATGAAGAAGTCCACAAGGTATACGTTCCGAAAGAAACGAAACCTGAAAGACGCTTAAAAATTCAACATTACTTTTGACCTTTTGAATAAGCAAGTTCGCATGGACTTAGTAGCTTTTCCAGAAGTTCCGTGTTTGCAAGTAAATGAGTGTGAGGATGTTGTAATTGAGGCATCTGGTAGAAGAGTAGTTGATCAGGACAACTAGACCTACTATACAATGTTCCAACTTTGATTTTATTGTGATTTTCGGTCTTGCTCTTCACTCTGTGTTCGGATAACTTGGCACAAGCACTACAGAATCGATCCTGACACCGTCTAAGATGTTCCTACAACCTCACATTGAAGTCCACAACGTTTTTACATCTCCCCTTCAAAATAGACGTAGATCTCCCAGACTAAGTACAGAGACGGGCAAGTAGGTGGGTAATAGGGTCAAGGAACAAATTTTACGAAGACAGACTCGGAAGTCTGAGATTATGATTGCTCAGCCATTGGAGGACAAAAGGTGATCTGATGTTGGCATACGACATACAAAGTATGTCGAGTCATCCCAACACGTACATGTCACTGAAACATCATTATCATGATCTTCACGACAACTCTCGGAAGACTGCACATTAAGAAATGAACATCCAGGTAGGCTCTCAATTTTTCCCATTAAATGTCGCACCTATTCGGAATGCTCTCCAATGTATGGTAACCACAGCCTTTCAGTGGACGTGGCGAATAAAAATTAAAAACGGAGCAAAATTAGCTACATAATCTAGTTATTTAATTAAAAATACATTATGAAATGACAAATACTGTGGTTACTTGAACGCACAAATGACAGTGTGCGATACATTAATATTACATGGTTGCGTTGCGGATAAGATCACCCCAAGAGGAGACTTGGCAAACACGTACTCACTCACGCGTTGACTTGTACCGCTTGGAAGAGCTGTGTCTGATGCGTGTCTGATAATTTACCACTGTTATAACTGCTGCATATCATTAACCACTTTCTATCTCTTCTATTATCATCTCCGTCCTCCTCGTTCTGTCAATTCTGCCTTCCCATATTGTCTTCATCCATAACTTATTTCGTTATTTCTTACGTTATTTTTCGAAATAATCGTCGTCTGCTGCCATGTGCATTTTCATTTATTACTCTTAATTTTCCTCTCAACAACTTTTCTTTTTGATAATATTAATTCTTTGTCATTCAGAAGTGGTTAGTGTCATTGTGTGGCCAAACAATTGTGTATTAAACATTTGAAAAGCATTGAATCGTTCTGATTTATTGAGTAGGGTGGTCAAGGAAAATAATCCACCTAATCAAGAACCGTACCCTCCGCCTCCTAAGCCGCAAACGGCACTGTTGGGCGGAATACAAACGAACTAATAACGATGGAGCGTATAGGCAATACAAACATATCAGGAACACATGCACGAAGGCTATAAGAGAAGACAGGCTTCAGTACCAAACAAAGCTTATGGACAAATTCGCCTCTAACCCTAGAAGCCTATTCCGTTATGCAGCCTCTCTTCGTCAAGCCAAAACAGGAGTTTCTCAACTGCTAGGTCCTAACGGCCCGACCAACAACGATGGCGACGCCGCTAACCTTCTGGCGGCCCATTACTCTCAAACATTTCAACCGGCTGATATCAACTTTATTGACGACAGTTTCATCTGCAATTCCACAGGACTTTCTGAAGTGGACCTAAGCGCTGACTTGGTGTTCCGGAAACTGCAGCACTTAAGACTTGACACTTCTCCTGGCCCGGATATGGTTCATCCTGCCATACTGAGGGAGGCAGCCTCAATCCTGGCAACGCCGCTTAGCGTGATGTTTTCACACTCGCTTAGCCGAGGCAAACTACCGGAAAATTGGAAGTTGGCTCACATCACACCAATTTTCAAAGGTGGTCGACGCAATGAACCTTCAAGTTACCGGCCGGTAGCTCTTCTGTCGTTACCTTCAAAACTCATGGAGTCCCTGATATGCGACGGTTTAAATGACTACCTACTGTCCTTAAATTTCTTCTCACCCCAACAGCATGGTTTCAGGAAGGGTTACTCTTGTATAACCAACCTGCTGACTGCGGTGGACAGATGGACAAGCATCCTCGATCGCAAGGGAAAGGTTGATGTCATTTACCTTGATTTCTCAAAAGCTTTTGATAAGGTTAACCACTTGTGTCTTATCAACAAGCTCAAACGACTAGGTATCAAACCACCTCTAATCGACTGGCTTACTTCATACCTAAAAAATCGACACTTTAAGGTTAGGGTTAATTTCACTTTATCTCAAGCTATGGAATGTCCTAGTGGGGTCCCCCAGGGCTCAGTACTAGGGCCTCTTCTCTTCTTGATTTACATAAATGATCTTCCTCAACAGGTAACGTCAGACTTATTACTTTTTGCCGACGACGTGAAACTTTGGAGAGAGATACGCAACCAAGACGATATACAGGCTCTTCAAGAGGATCTGACTCGACTTCATAGTTGGGCAGACGATAACGGACTTACCTTTAACACTTCTAAGTGTAAAGTAGTCCATCTGCGACATGTCGCAAACTACAGTTACAACTTAGGAAACTCCTCTCTAGTAGTATCCCAAGTCGAAAAAGATTTAGGAGTCCTGGTGCCCCATGACTTAAAGTCTTACGCTAACTGTGACAAAAATGCCTTCCGAGCAAACCTTGCACTGGTAACGTTGAGGCGCATTTTTGGTCAGTTTGACGGAAGAACTTTCCACACAATCTTCAATAGTTTCATCCGTCCCCATTTAGAGTACGGAAACATAGTACTCCCCCCCTCACTCCAAAAGGATAAGGTCACTTTGGAGCGTATCCAACGGCGAGCCACGAAATCAGTTCGAGGACTCAAATCTAAGCCTTACGAAGAACGCCTCCGTTCACTAGACCTTTACCCACTAGAATATAGGCGTCTTAGAGGTGATTTATTAATGGCTTATAGTATTCTTAACACTTCTGGACATCCTCTTAAACACCTACTTAAGCTTAGTTCGAACAATAACCTAAGGGGTAACACCCAGAAACTGGAAACACAACATAGCAAGACGGAATGTAGACACAACTTCTACTCCTTAAGAGTTGTCAAAAGCTGGAATTCGCTGCCGGCCGAGCTAGTCCAAGCGACTTCTCAGGAGTCCTTCAAGAGGCAACTTGACCTATTCTTAAGGACCAAGGACAGCATCGCACTATGATTTACCAATTTCTTTTCCTCTTTTATTGTTAACATACCTAGGTTCCTGCCTGGAGGATTTGGTGATCCCCTGCTACTAGACACGGAAGCCTGTTAAGCGAAAGCTTCTTCTATTCCGTCCACAACCATTTGAACCATTTGAACATTCAAAATATTGGATATTGCGTGGCACACTCAAACCTGTCGCTACTTGTGTATTAGTCAGATGAAGTTTGAGTGGTCGGTTGCGTCAGCTACTGCGCAAGATTATTTGAATGACAGAATCAATGAAGCTGGTCCATTTCAAGATGACTGGACTGAACTTTCAAATTTCCACTCCAAGAAGTGAGTTCACATTGCGAAACTATTTGCACTAAATCTTAAAATTGATATTTCCGAGTAAGCATTTCTGAGTAATTTGTACTCAGTTATTTTCATCGTACTCTGAAAACGTGGTTCGGAAATCGTTTTAAATGGGTTTTCAAATTGTTTGCACTTCGGAGGTTGACCAACTCACCCGTATCAAACCAAAATATAAGACTCAGGGTCTGATAACCCCATCCTTGAATTTCCTTGTCTTGCGATTCGATCTAGTAATCGCAGCTTATATGCTGGTTAATTAGTTGTCGTTTTAGTTCTTTGTGATTATGGAACTGTATTTTCATTAAATCTTGTAGGGACGATACGGTTCTTAAACACAGGTTAGTTCCTTGTAAGATTTGTTTTTACCAGCTATTTAGAGCTGTATAGTCATTCAAAAAGTCTTTATAACCTTTCTAACTTCGACATTTACAGCTGGGTCTTTGGCTTGTGCCTGTTCAGTGGACTTGCAGTACAGTCAATTAGTCACAACTAGAAAACCTAAGATAAATGTGCGTCATATGCGATTGCCGCACCATATTAGCACAGAGGATTAAAAGCATTAACTCGAATATTGAGGTAAAAAAGTGGCGGTGTTAGCGGTAGTAAAAGTAGTCTAGAGAATACGTTTCGAGATGATATCACGAAACATAAAGTATTGAGTGATTTTGAAGCAAATGATTCATGAGTTGACAAGTGTTAGCCTCTAACTGTTGGGCGCGATAATCATTCAGACTCAAACCAACTAATCCACACTTGTCAGTGCTCAGACTAACAGTCAGTAACTGGGTAGACTGTTTTTTTTACTTTCGCTAGCTTCTTCCTAACCTATTCCACTTGGCAGTATACGTAAGTTGTGGCATTGTCAGACGTACTTATTACAAACTGCAGTCGGTGAAAACTTGACCTAAAGCTTCTTCAGGGTTACCATCGTTCACAAGCTTGGTTAAAGCAGCTTTGGCCGTTGGGTTTACAACCGCACGCCGTAAAAATCTCTCATCTCATGATGAAAAAGTTGGTCCATAAAGTTTCATTACTTGCTTTGTTTGGTACTATGTATGACCTCAGTACTGCTTTCTTAATGGTCCCAAAATATACAGTCACTGCTTCTGAGTCCCTTGTGGTCGAGTACTAGTGACGTTTGAATATCCCTAATTCTTACAAGTTACGCTTTGCAGCCATAAAATAAAACGAGCAACTCCGTAGCAAACTTCTCCTTTCGTTGGTGACAATTGGTGCACGTTAACCTAAACCAACTGGAATTTTGTAGATCCGTGTCAAAGTTCTGTCAGACTAGCTAATTTGTTAGTGAAATTTCTCAGTCACGTATCTCGATTAGCTTTCAGTTGCTGCACTACCTGTCACAGTAAGGTTAGGCATTCATATCTCCTACTTTCTTCATGCCATTATCGTCAGATCGGGTAAGAATGTTATTTTCTCGAGTGGATTAGTTTATTTAGACGATCATTTGTGTTTCTAACATCAAACTTATTTTCAACCCAGTCGGTCAGTGATTTGTTACGACATTTATAATAAAGCGTGACTCAATGATTTAGCCACTTGCTCAGATTTCTACCTGTTTTTCTTACTTGATCTACTGAATAGTTTTGGGTTATAACAACACGGGCCTCGATTACATTTATTTCCTAGGTTGTAGTATTTGTCGTATTAAAGAGCCTTTCCATAAATTGTCACATCTGGTGTCATAGTCGAAGCTTGAAAATCCATTCTACTTATCATATTGACAGACCTCAATGACGTCATTATCGTGAGTCACAAATGGGATTTTAGTCTCATTTGTTTAAAATAAATTTTAACTTATGTAGAATACCTTATCTCTCTAACAATGTTTTTGATTATAGATTGTGGCATCAATTAACGCTAAAACTTGAATGTCTGCTGAAAAATCCTGAATTCCGGTCGAAAACAAATTTAATTCTGGTAAAATACCTATTTTGAGTAATAAAAGTATCAATATAGCTCAGTAGCAATTTTCTCGGCGATTTTATATACAAGTAAATTTATTGTTATGATTACTGTTCTCTTTCCCAATTAGAATAAATCCACTCTCTTTAGCTGAATTATGCGTTCCGATTAGTGAGCAGTATGTAATTACAGGTATGCACTAACCGTCGTGCGCAAATGAGCTTAATATTTTTTAGATCCGCAGCAGGGTATCAAATTCCTCGAAGAAGTTCGTGATGAGGTAGTTCACTACTTTTAATCCTTCCAAACTATTATTGAAAGCTATTTTTAATTTTGGATAAATTGTTTTGTCTTGTGGCCTTGTATATTCTTCCATCTTTCGAACAATGTTTTGTTTATGGTGACTGGAGTCCATAGGGTTAATCCAAAAATTTGGCGTTTGCGGCTCCACTCATTTTTGGTTAATAATGAATAGAATTAATTTGCGAATAATAACATCCTACTGTAAGCAGTTCTGTATTGGTTTTCCCCGCGACGTTGATTAGATTTTGTTATGGTGCAACCTATCGTCTGATTATCACTTATCTCTAATGTCCCTAAAAATATTTTAGGGATCCTAAATCCCCAGCTACAACATTCAGGAAGAAACTACTTTTAGGATTTACATGTTGACTTAAAGCGAGTTCCATTCATTCTGTATGGTTAAGACCTTTCATCATTATTTTGCAGTCAAGTAGACTGGTCGGTCATTGGAATTAATTGATGTATTGTTGGATTAAAGTGAATATACATTCAGTATTTGGTTTCCCTTGATAAATCCTAACAAGACTTGTTTTTTTGTGGCTGGGGGTAAAACGAAAGGGAACTGTTGCATACGTTTTCGAGTTGATCATCATCACTGCTATCCCGCTCCCTACCAAGCTCACTGGGGTTAAGTATTCAATGTTTCTGAAGTTAAAAGACAGACCATCGAGATCGCAGTTTGCCTGTTTCTCTGGAGCAGTAGGCTCTTACTAGACAGTTATAGTTACATCATTATAAAGGATTTCGGAACAAATTGTTGTTGGTTATTCTCTAATTTTTAGTGGCCATGCAACTGATATGTTCCTGTTATTATAACGACTTTCGAATTCATTTAGAACTTACTTAAACCTGCTATTAAGTTGGAATCGTATTGCCTAAATCAATCCACTTCATATTACAATAATGCTTAATGAGTAACACTACTAGCTAGTTTGGTTAGTAGTCTTCTGTTACACATGTCCAATACCGTCGCAAGTTTCTGGTTAAACAGAAAAATACTTTCTCATTCAGTCAGCCCAACTGCTGTTTGTCTTCCCTTTTTCCAACATTGAATATATGTCCGTCTCTAATATCCGGTTACATCAAAGTTTGCTAATACCACCGTGCCAGATGTGGGTTGCTATTTTCATAAACCACATATTTCTAAGGTAACATCTGTTTGTTGTACACATTACTGTAAAGCATCGTAAAATGATTTCAAGTCCTCGACTCACCCACTTCAATCTGACCAATCGGGTAGTATTTTTAGTCTGGAAATATAATTTACGTTTTACACATGAATTAGTGCTTAACCATGTACTCTGGGATATTTGGTTTATAAAACTTTAGAAAGAGTAAGATTCATTTCGGTGTAATGTTTTGTATTTTTCCAGTTTTCTGGCAAATCCATGGACGCGAAAATACTATTTAACACAACTATTGGAATGATTTACTTGACAGCACTTAATGATCTGCCGAGTGCTCGTCAAATAATTGAGAATACACAAAGTCAGTTAGATGAAATTGAAGGTGTTACTACAGTTCACTCAAGGTTTTATCAGCTTAGTTCAAGATATTATCAGGTAAGTTTACATATTTTCTCCCTGTTGGAGTATTTTGTAATTGATAAACCGCAAAGATCATAGAAAGAAAAAGTGTTTGAATTTATGGTAAACTGTATTAAATCAGGTCATTATTTCTAACTGTTCTCTAATTCATCACGCCTTAATTTATGATTCATGCTCGGAGCAATATCTTCTATATGGTTTGCGCCTAAAAATTTATGTCTTGAGCACAATAAGATTAGTAGGAACACACGGAATCGTGGTTAAATAAACCTGTACTTTCTCGAAATTACACCTTTCGATCTTAATGCCCCACACTTCGTTAGTATTTCAACAGACATCAGTTAGCAGGTAGCGCGTTATGTAATTTAGTGTTGCTCATTTACCGAGTGAGGCTTTATGTCCTTGGCACATCCACACTCTTTTTAATGTTAGGGGCTGTGGTACTGTATGGTTGTTCGAACTGAATCAGGAAGAATAGAGTTTAAACTCTCTATCTAATAGTTAAAAGCCTAGGTCTTTAAGTACTAAATGATTGCTGCTATGTAGGATGTTCGAAATTGATTATCGTCTGTTTAATACTCATGTTCTGATACAAATGGTCACCAAAATAAATATGCCCACATAAATAGAACTGCAGTGTTGTTAAATAATAAAGTGAGCAAGTGAGTTACAATAAAAAAGAAAAGTCAACAATAATGCTATATAATATGAGCTACATTTCAGTTCAGGAGTTCCCACTTTTATAAAAAAAATATAGAAGATAATTACAACAGGACCACACTGGCTCCTGTTCTCAGCCATTTCTAATGAAGTCTCAAGTTGTCTGGTTGCACCACCTCTTCATAATTAGTTCGCACCAAAGTCTAAACTAAGGATAGATCGTAAAGTTGTTAGACACTTCGACTACTTCACTTGTTTTGTAAGTTTCAGTCCTGATGGGTTGATATCTGACGAAATATTGGCACGCATTCAGGAGGTTAAGTTGAGCTTTGCCAATAGCTTCTGTAAAATCAGGTGTGCCGCCATTGGGCCTGACTGATGCAGATTGGAGAACAAACAAACAATAACATCGGTGTTCTCTGTCTTCCTGAAATGTGCATTCAAGACTAGTGAAGTACTTCAAATTCGTCATTCACATGTCAATTATAAAGTATGGTAGTATGAGGATATTCTGAGAGCAAGATAGGACCACCTACCCTTGACGTATCAGGGAAGAAATTAGGCTTAACTAGAGATATTTTATTAACTAAGGTTTATAGTTATAACTTAGACAGTGAGCCTCGTTGCTTGTTACCAGATTACCAGGTTGTATAATTCTATAATAATTACTAGAGAAAGTGTTTAGATGCTCATTGGGGGATACTCAATTGTTACTAGCTGTTGAGTACGTTTTTCATTATGTGAGCTGTTGATGGAAAGGCGAGATATCTTTTTACTCGAAAAAAACATATATTTTTCTTAATTCCTTCAGATATTCAACCTAAAATGTATCTTACGGTGATATCTGGTTTTCAGGACACTTTGATTTATAGTGTATTTCTTATAGTTCATTCCTTATCATCAATAAATCAGCTATTTTTGTCACTAGATTACTGGACAACATGCTGAATTCTATCAAGAAGCACTTCGTTTTCTCGGTTGTGTGGATTTAAACAGTCTGAGTGTTGAAGAACAAAGAGGATGGGCGTTTTCCGTTGGTTTGGCAGCTATTCTTAGTGATGGTGTTTACAGCTTTGGCGAACTCGTACGCGTTCAAGAATTTTTTATTTTATAATTGTTTTGTTCTGTTTCAAATTTCTCCCCATCTTACAGAATTTTTACTACATGAATATCAGTTCAAAAAAATTCTATTATAATAATTTAGATCAAAATTTGGCTACCATTCTGAAATGAGGTTTAACTCAATTGAACCGTCGACTATTTATCGTTCCCATACACGAAGAAGGAAGCTAATATTTTTGTGCTAATAACTAAAACGTCATATAGACATAAGATGTTAAATCTTGGAGGAAATAGTTTATCAAAAGAACGCTTCTTGAGAATATTATTTCACTGAATCCTAGGGCCTGATTAAAAATCCCTGCTGCACTTATTTCGGTTGAAAGACATCACGTTACCAATGCGTTAATACTTAAGCTCAGTTGTGTGCAAAGTTATGTAAAACTTCCAGCATTGGCTACAAGCCATGTTTGAATACACTTTGTTTATGAAGTTTGGCACTATCATCCATTTTCTATAATTGTACTTCCGATAGCAACGGTTACTGCCCTCATGTTATTTGTAATTAATCTACTGAAAAACTACCGATAAAGCAAAATGGTTTTCTGGACATCTTAATGAAAATGCCTTAGGCTCTTCAATACCTGTTTTCATCTGCTAAATGTGAAGTCTTACTTGAGGATTAGTTTGAATTTTAGCCTAACTTCATTTTAAAAGGCAATATAGTTGGGTTGTTAGCCTTGAAAGTTGTAATGTACTAAAAAATTTCGACTATTTCCAACTTCACTATTTATGGTGTGCAACTAAGATTTTCGAATGTTTTGGGAAATAAATTGTGTATTCGCCACTGTGTATTCTGCTCCATATCTGCAATGGCATCGATTAAATTGACTGTATGACAAATAAGGAATATTCTACTACTACTGTGCTGAAGAACAATAAAATAACAATCAAGATAATTGGATGAAACTACAACATTGCTTCGTAAATTCGATTTTCCATATGAACACATATACATTGATACTAAGAGGCACCACACAATAACAGTAAAGCCAGTAGTAGTTATTATTGATTAATGTGAGGGATGTAATACTGCCTGGGTTCCAAAGTGAACTAGGTGGTTTTCTTGGGGAGCCCCAAGCCTTTGACCTAAAGGTCTAGTCCACAAAGCAGTGGAGCAACGTTAGGAGATGCAGTCCCATGGTAGCCGGTGACTAACGATTGGTTCATACACTATTTGTTCCTTCAGGATACTGGAACCCATCTGCAATATTGGTTTGGAATCAGGGTTTCTCAACAGCCCTAGGTGGACTCACTGTGTCCACCGACCGGTTAAAGTTGGTCACTCACTTTTCGTCCACTCAATTTCGTAAACAACACCCCCGCCTTGCGAAGGACTTCTCTGGTAGTGGCTGTATGCATGTGGCCATTTGAGAGCATTTCGGGAGGGAGAAGTGACCTTACCCACCCTCGGCCGTACCAGGGCATTTAGGTGCTGTAAACGATTACTGAAATTTATTTCGATATATATGCATACTATGTGCTTATGGAAAAAAGTCCGGCATGCAGATGATGTTGGTAGACTAATTTTTTGACTGAAAGTTGTCAGCTATCTGTCTGTTTTCACTTGTTTTAGTTTAAAAAACTTTCCACATCGTTGAAATGCATTTAAACATTTTATTTTTTGTGTTTCTTTCTTAAACTTCGATTTCCAATGATATGGTTCCCTTTTTATTGTGTTCTTGTTAAAAAGCTGACGCATGATGTCTTGAAAAGTTTACAAGGTTCTTCACAGGCATGGCTTATTGACCTACTGCAAGCTTTCAATAGAGGTGATTTAAATCAGTTGGATCAGCTACGCAGCCGTTGGTGTGTCCAAGCTGATCTCGTAGCTGCTGAACCAAAATTAAAAGACAAAGTCACCTTATTATGTCTAGTTGAAATGGTGTTTCGCCAACCAACTAATAAACGTACGCTTACATTTGTAGAAATCTCATCTACTACCAGAGTCCCAATTGACCAAGTAAGTTGTACGATAACTAGAGGGAAAGCTTGAATTGACGATACAGTGTCTTAGTAAATAATATTTGAATGAGTCATATCTTTAAAATAACTGTTGAGTTTGTATTAATATGGTATTCAGATAACAAAGTGAGTAATCGGTTTAATAAACTTAGATTTATGTCTCATATTTAGTCTGGTGAAAATGAACAGTGATATTAATCAACATTATTCAGGATCCCTTCAAGGTATCACAATTTGGATGTAATAGTTCATGTACGAATATTTCCCACTTTTATAAATCATGTTTCACACTCATATAGAGCAAACTGCTATGCAGTATACTCACCCTTTGTTCATCAGACGGACGTTTCATGACATACGTCGGCAAACGTCAATCAACCTTTTTGAGTCCGTTTTGATGTTCATCAGATGCTAACCCACCAGGGTTGGAGACCTCCAAAATCAGTAAAGTGGTCACATCACTCAATTACTTTGCTTCCTGTCATGGTGTTTTCTGTTCTCTAGAGAGACTTCTGGCACATAGATAACATTTTTATTAATTTTGATGACAGTTCCCCATAAACTCTGGCTCGATTAGTAGTGTTTGGTTAGAGAGTCTTCACAAGATCTATCCACTTCTATGTTATACGTTTCACTGGCATACACTACCATGTTGTCTATCTATCAAGCTAATATATTGTACAATTTGTTGATGAACAATGTGTGATCAAGTGTAGCGTTATCAAAACATGAAGATTTAGCTAGCAAGATAATATGAATTCTAACATGTCGGTAATTGTGTGAACTATTCTATAAATGTAGTATAGTTTTACGCTTGGTAATGTTAGTCATTCATATACTTCGTTTAAAAAAAATTGAATAAAGTAGCCACTGCAAATATGCTTTGATTCATAAGTCACTATTAGGTTACTAAATATTTCAGTATGCTTATCATTCATCTAAATTGTAATTATTGTTCAGAAGTAATTTAATTTGTTCTGTTAGCTATTGGGATTTTTTAAAAATTAGTTTCATGTTGTTTTGAGCGAAGTGGTGGTTTAATGAAAAGAGTACTATACTTCCGCTTGAGGTTACAGGTCTGAACCCATCTTTGCTCACTTCGGTTTCAAAAGTTAGGTCAGTCAGTTTGATGCAATATAGGACCTGGAATGAGTGTACATCAGTTCAATTTGCAATACATTATTCGTACAGCAAGATGAGGTTGTCCGGGTAAATCTCAGAGTAGTAATGGTTATAAAAGTAATACTGATAACAAAAAAAAGTCAAGGATTAAAGAGCCCAAATTAGTGAAATAAAAGAGAACTTATGAGGAATTTAAAGGAAGAGAAATTACTTAATTGACTACCGCACATTTCTGTTTTACGCCTTCTAATTTTCCTTAATACCAATACTAAAATTGAGGAAATATTTTCTTTTCAAGGTTGAACATTTCTTGATGAAAGCACTTTCCTTAAAATTGATAAAAGGACGTATTGATGAAGTTAATCAATGTGTTTCTCTTACTTGGTTACAACCTCGTGTTCTTGACAAGGAACAAGTAAATTGAATTTTTAAATGAGAGTAATTTCTTTTTCGAAAAATTAGCGTTTATAAAAACTTACCAGTTACTAGTTGTTCATACTAACATAATATATTCATTATCATACGAGGAGTACTATAATGCAATACTCTAAGGTCTTTCAATAATTTATTACACGTAATACTCCCGTTTATGAAACTTAGCAGTATCGTTAATAAACAATTAACTAATATGGATTACACTTTGTTATTTTATATGTACATTAGTGATCATTAGAATTCTATACACAGAATATAGATAATGTGATCGAATTAAACTGAACTGAATTATGGTATCATAAAGTTAGGGTTTATACGAAAGTATCACTTCAATGAATCCAGTTAACAATTTATTTAATTCAATTACATGTGTGTACTAACATTTTGTTTGTTACTGTCAAGTTGTATAATATATTTTCTAACGTGATAAAGGTCGACCACTTGGATTGATGCATATATGTGCCTGGTTCTACATTTTAGCTGACTGATAGCCTCATCAGCTGATTTACATTACATTCAATTTCAGGATTACGCAATTAGTTATTCGAAAGTTTATGAAAGAGCCACTTTAGAAAGATATGATTCTATAATATCATCTTCCTTGTTTCCTCAATCGCCATATTCCAAAGTTAAAAGTAATATCAGCTACTATTTTAAGAAGTAGACAATTGTACAAATTAACGTTCAGTTGACACAAAAAGTACATGCAATCGAGTTTTCCTGTATTTTAATAGTTTTTGTCCAATTCGTTGTAGAAAGCCATCTGTCAAAACGCTTTTACGCTTAAAAGAGAGGGTATATACTGCCGATACACTAGATATAGGGCTAATGAGTGTTAATAAAATGTCTAAGAAACAACGGGTTTCCACAGAAATTTATTGAGAAATATGGGAAAAGTGAAAACAAAACGCCTAAAAAAATCACAACAGACATAATATTTTTATTGAACCTAAATTCAACCATGGTCACTTTGGAATGACGGTAAACAGAAGATTAGAAACCACATTAACTAGAACGTATTGTGCAGCCAAGTTAATTATCTTGTACAGTATAACTGAATCTCTACTATAATCAAAGATCAATACTAACCCTTTATACATTGCCGCCAACTGCGTATAAAAATTTACACGTGTGTACCAAAGCAGTTATCTTGGTAAAACAGAATGGCGTAAGTTAGTTCTAAAGATCATATCTTTAGATGTCTTCGATACTGGACTTCAGGTTGATTTACTGAAATTTTCCAAGGCTTCTGGTCGACGACTCCCAAATGCCCTGTTATGACTGAGAGTGGGGAGAATGAATTCACATGATTCTACTCAATTTTTAGTCCTTGGCCTCTTCTAGATAAAAAAATGAAACTGAAATAATTGATACGCAGGATTAGTTATGTATTTCGTCGCTACTGATATGAATCTATAACCCAGTTTTGGTCGGTTGTTTAATATCTAAAGTAACCAAACTTCCACGTTAGTTTTCACACTATATATTCAAACCGTACCTGTTAGTGGCAATCTATACATGCTTGTTGTATTACACTATCAAGGCTTCTGTTAACTGCAACGTAGGACCAGGCACATATATGCATCGGTCCAAATTGTTACACCTCATTAGCACAGCAAGATGAATACCGGATTCATAAAAGTAGTTACTTCAATGATAGTAATATGTAGGAGAATGATTGCATGTAAGGATATGATACAGGGAGAAAGAACTAGTTCGTATAAAGAAAGATATGAAGCGATTTTAATCTCGTAGTTTAAGGGAAGACAAAGAGTGTATACACCTACACCATTGTGATCGATTCTGAGCCATGTCACTCAGCCTCCAACCATTGGTTACGGTAGTTGCGCGGACCGCAACTAATTAGTATGCGTCTACCAACATGGCTAAAACTAGAGGTTAGTTAATTCAAGGTCTGAGGTTTATTCCTCATGGATTGGATTGAACGAAGTATTTTGACGCATTTTCTATTAACTACTGTTTTCTTCATTTTAGGTTTTAGCTTTGTAGCTAATCTAGCTATTTTCATTCTTATACTTAATGTTTTATAAACTAACCATCAAACTATTAAAAATTTCCATTTTCAGTGATTTAAATTTTAAATACTTTCATTGATTTTCCGACGTTCCCTGTTATTATTAGATTGGAAGCATGTGTGCCCGATTGAAAGAATGGTCTTCTACAGTTGAAGGTATGAAAAACCTTGTCGAAGTGGATACAAAATCTATTTTGGCCTGAAAAGTATTTCGTATTTATTAACCCGGTTTCTTGTACAACCGTTTGTAATCCACCAGCACATACTTTTAATAAATACACTCGAAAATATTCTCTTCTGTCAATCAACATATATTAACATAGGTCTATTATTGCAATTGTTAATATACAAATTTTAAATGGATTTTATTTTGTTTCCAAATGATTAACTATTTTTTAGAGGTCAGTTAGTCATGACGAACACAGAGTCAGACAAATGTACGTTAACACACGTTGCCATATCACATCACATTGGAACGGATTTAAAAAGATGAGTAGTAAAGGTATTGAAACAATTTAGCACCAATGATAATAAGGAAGACACCTGTAGCAAATCAGTACCTCACTAACCGACTTGCCAATTTAGTCTAGTATCTTGACATTGCTCACTCGATTGATCCACAATACACGAGCATTGTTCCGATCACATATGACCAAAACGTATAGTCTATCCATATCTTCCACTTCCGTAGATTATGTTTTAAGGACAGCTTTTTGAATGTGTGTTGAGACTGTTAGACACTAACTCACCAAGTTTGGAGACTTTCAAGATAAGTGAGGTGTTCAACCGATTCAACTACTTCACTCTATACCATCAATTTGGATGTCAAAGTAAACCATTTTGAAACCTAGTCATATATAACGTCTGAACCTCAACATAAAAGCATCATTGCTTAAAAGTGCGTGACACAAGAAGTAACACAATACTAAGTATATTCGTACATCAGTTTACCTTGCGGTGCTACAACAAAGAAGTAGGGTACAGACATATTTACGATGTAGGTAAAGCGAATAACTCGGGATGGGATTAAATAGGTAAGATTATATGATAACTTAAGTTCGCAGAAAAATATCACTTCAATAAATTTGGATTGTTTGAGACAAGCTGTATTAGCATTAATTTTTACGTATCGACGATCCCATCTCAGAACTATATACAAGCGTATTAAAGTCAAGAACTTCGTTTTCAAAACAACCTTTTCTCTTCACATGAAGAGAAGTACATTTACTTAAAAGTTAGGATGGTTTAACATCCATTCTTTTAAAATACATTGTAGAGCATACAGTTCCTGGTGGCCTAAATGGATATTCCCTAACATTAACCATCGATTTCCTATCCATTCTTGCTTGAGGATGGTATTTTAATATAACCGCTCCCAAATATTAAATTTATTTGCTTCAACTAGGAATAAATTCTAGTAAACAGCGTCAAAATGTGTAAATTTCGATCTTTCCCGAACTTTTTGGCTTTTATAGACTTGTACTAACAGCATTACCAAATAGTATACAGGTGATTGTTGGCTGTGCACCCCTATAGAACTTTCATCGCATATCATCAGATTACTCAAATGACGTAAGCTACTACGCATTATTGAGTCGATGGTTCACACTTGTTGAGAAACCTCGTATAAGTAATCACAATTTATGAATTATGTTTCATTTATTTTAGTTTGTAAGATCGGTCTTTAAGCTGCAAGACGTTTCCTTTCAACTAACTATTGAGCATATGTAACTGAACTACCTTAAACAGATTTAAACCACCCATCATCAAACAAAGAATATTGGGAAGCGCTTAAGAAAGGGAGCACAATCCGGCCCTATCACTTACGGTTGCTTAAAGTGGCATGTCTTTCCTGTTTGTACCTCTCGAAATTAGTTGTTCTACAGACTACATTGCTCTGATCATATTCACTAATACTATACACTAGTTGTTTCCGTAATTTCGCACCTTCACGCTACTGCTGTTTTCATGGTCATAATAATGAGTTGAGAGATTTAGCGTTGCTATGAAACATGGAGATGAGAGCAGGAAACGTTATTCAAGTTAAGACTATCTGGGTTTTGCCTGACGGTTGAGATAAATACACTTCTTATAAGGCGAGCAAGGCTTGAATATCACTACCGCAACGTGAGCACTGCGTCCAAAGCGATATATAATGAAATAGTAATCCTGGTTTTCGAAAATAACCATGTAGTTTAAAAGGTATTTGCAAGCCGAGCTGTTGTTTTATGTGACTGCCACAATGTAGGTTGTTTTTAATCACAAGAATTCCATGCTAGCTACAATCCCTAAAGTTCAAGTCAAGCGTCGCTTGTCGAGGTAGGCAGTGGTCAGACGTACGAAACACATGACTTAAACACCTCAGTCGACATACTGTCCTTAACCTCAATAACACTCACTTGGTCGGTTTGCAATAGGTCAAAAATACTTATGATTAGAAACCTCCAGTCTACACGTCTTTAATTTCATACTGTTTCACAGACGTGAGATAAGACAGGAAGGACTGCTACGTGATATGCATGTCCTGTGATTGGAGGACGGACACCACAAATTACTGAATTTTGCAAACACCAACACAACTTTTTGAAGCAGGGGCAGACACCAAACGATTAGGCACGGTCAGATCTTCAAAATAATTGAAGGGGCTGACCCGTTCTGCTGTATTTAAGCAACTGTCCCATCTCGTCTTAAATTACCAGCGACCAAAGATGGGAGGACCCGAATGTGCGTAACTGTAGAGTACTTAAAAATCAGTTGAATGGTATTTTAGGATATAAACTCCCCACTGGTCCAATCCCCTGAATTGGAAGTGTTCGTTTATGAAGTCCACATCTGAAACAGTCTCACTGAAACCTGAATTTTGTAATAAACCTCACCGACCAGCCAGCATTGCCATTTATTCTTGCTACATTTCGCGGTTTTGCTCTCGCTGTCTACTGCTGCGTTTGGTTATCATACATTTGAGTTGTCGTCGCTCATCATTCTTCAAGCCTACGAAGATATACACCCGAACTCCCCCAATCAGTGAACAATATCTTCCCAAGCCATTATAGAATAAACTGTTTCGATGCGACCGAACAGTTGCATGGCTAATCCTTTCTAAAGGGTTTACTAACATTACAATTCGAAATGATTTGCTTACATGACTTTCGAATCGATTTTGTATCCACTCAACTGCACATCACTCGATCACGGAACATTATCGCCACTGTTTTGTATATATATGTTATGATTAATGCACTGAACCTACTAAAGTGACATTTCTAAATAAATTTGATTTACAGCCGGACGCTAGGGACTTAAGGAGCATAATTTCAACTGCTTTCTTAGGTGAAGTTACGTTTCTAAAACAATGACCAACTAGTATCAGACTCCACACTAGTCATCAATATATTGATAGTGGTCAAAGTTCAATAGACTGGAAAAATATTTAGTCGTAAACTAATAACGAACGTAAATTGTGATAAATAGTTAAGCTTCGCTAACGGGCAGCGTCAACTGTGGCTGGTTTAATGTAGAGTTAATAACAGCGAAGATTATGGCAACAAGATCTATTAAGTACGTCATATGGTAATTGTTTAGAAACCAGTTAATAACTGTAATGGTTGCTCACGTGATGCCACTGAATTTTAGTATAATCCTTTATTTCCTCAGCTAACTTGATCTACTGAGTTTCGAACAAATAAATGAACTTTCTCCGCATATAGACTAAATGTAATGGGAGGTCTATCCATCGAGGAATAGATACCATGGCTTAAAAAACCTTATTGTACTACGTAAACAGTGCCGGGGTTATCAGTAAGCCTTCTTCCGTGAACACATACAACCTCACTTGAAATAAAAAGTCTTTGATCCCATCAGTACATCATACATATTATTGTTACTAAGCCATTTGCCAAACACGAATGAGATTATCTGAGTATCCAGCAAATAAAGTTTGACCATCAGCAGACCACGCAAGACATGTGCAGGAAGATGTTGATCGTTTAGCAGGTGAGTTTCCTGATATCAATTCAAGGCGCAGATCATCAGCTAAGACTTTATTTTCTAGATCCCATATCTTGATGCTGGATCCAACTGCAGCACAAAGCCAATAACGATTAGGAGAGAAACATAATGCATTGATTATTCCTCCGCTAGGCAGGGTGTACAGGAACTTGTTCAACGCTAAGTCCCATAGCATTGCTTGTCCGTCTTTTCCTCCGCTTGCACAAAGAGAACCATCTGGTGAAACTGTCACCGTGTTGAGATAACCAGTATGTCCGTAATGTGTTGTGCGTAAACTGCAGTCGCTTAACCCCCAGACCTGGGAAAATGAATTACAGAATATCGTATCGCTTACTTTCACTTGCTTGTCCCATCCACATGTAACAACAATAGGGTGATCCGTGTTTGGGGAAAATCGGACGCATGAAATCCAGTCGGTATGCCCACCATCGGTGAATACATACTTACAGTGACCCAAAGTATTCCACAACCTTGCAGTTTTGTCTCGTGACCCACTGACTATCTGTCTGTTGTCTGCACTAAAAGCAACACTCAGAACGCTTTTTTCGTGTCCACAGAACCGACGAGTTGTTTTTCCAGTTTCCAGATCATACAATCTTAAGGTGTTGTCCCATGACCCTGATAGAGCATATAACCCATCAGATGACATAACCACGTCACTGACAAAATGATTATGTCCATGTAAGGACCTCACAGGTACTCCATATTCACCAGATTCTCGCCTTAAGTCCCAAACAATTAGAGATTTATCTGAAATATCTATGTCAGTAGTTAAATATACCTCGAGAAGCTGAAACAAGAAGATCAGGTTGGGTAGCATTCGTCGCTATCTGTGTGACCCACCCACGGTGTCCAGACAGAGTGCCCCGAAACACCAATTGTTCATTCATCCCTGAAACAACGTGACGAGTAACGAAACCGCGCGAGCAAAGACACTGCAGACTGACCTAATTGTTCAATATCCAATAATTGCGAATCAGTCAGTGTAAACTATGACATTTCTTTACCTTCAATTCTCGATATTCATACACAGTCCTGGTCTTTGTTAGCGTCCTATGAACGAAACAGCGTGACTAAAAAGTAACAGGTCGGATGAATACTTGTAATGACTCACTTTTATCACGAGAACGCGATTGGTTTATTGAAAAAAATTATTATTATAACCAATTGTACCAGTGATTGTTTTACTGTGCTCGTTTGTTTAACTGTGCTAATGACAGACATATTGTGCTAGCATTAATCTCTATTATTGTTTCGTGTGTAGTGACTTCGCTGGCACGTACTCCCTTCTGCTGCTTCTGCTTGTACCAATTCTTGGCACGATCTTGGTATTCTTTCGATACCACGAGATCTC